GTTGCTGTTCCCTTTGAAACAGCAGCACCAGAGCCCTGACACTAACAGTGAGTGATACAGTTTATCACTGAATGCTCACAGTCATCAACCATACTTAAAATAAAGACACTATTTAGGCCTTTGTCTATCATGTCTAGAGTACAGAGTTTGAATACTCGCATCTGAATTCATTTTTAGATTTAAATTTAGAGTTTGAGCGCTTCATACAGAAATACATATAATACCGTTCACAAGTTTGGGGTTGGCACCATTTTTTCATGTTTTTGAAAGTCTCTTGTGCTCACCATAAAATGTATTTTCAGTCTTTAGCATCACATAAATCGTTCTAATATCGTTGTTTTCTGCTCGAGAAACATTTTTGTGGTAACCATGATACCTTTTCAGGAATTCTTTGATGAATATAAAGTTCAAAAACATTTTTAAGCTTTGTTATTTATTTTTATGCAAGATTATTAATGACAGGTAAGACCTCCAGACTACTGTCATTGAACGCTCTTTATTCATCTTTTTTTCTGACAGGCAGTCAAAGGGAAACATTCAATCTGTTGGTGACCAGTTCAATAGAAATGGCTGTTGTTTACAGGTTAGTGGCTGGTTAGTATGTTGCTTGTTCTGCACCATGTGTCTGGTAGAGTGTAAAATAAATGTGTGCGTGTTCAGGGATGTGGAGCAGTATGGACTGAGCAGACAGCTATGCTTGGCAGAAAGCGACCAGTGCGATGCTGTTCTCTGTGCTCTTGTTGTTGATCTGGACTTTGATGGACAGCATGAGTTGTTGCTGGGAACATATGGACAGGTACAGTGCTGGATTTAAAGAACAGAAACACTTGCTAGAGAACAAAAGTATGCCACATTGAAAGAGTTTAAAATACATAAATTGATATTCAAGCAGCTTACCTGTATGCATACAATTATGTGTTCATTCATTTGTGATCTACAGGATCTCCTGTGCTACAAATTTCACCAACCAACGGGAGCTTTTGAAGATAAGTTACAGCTGCTGTGGAGACGGAGTTTTAAAAGTCCCCTGCTGTCGCTGATTTATCTTGACCTGGATGGTGACGGACTGAGAGAGCTAGCCGTTCTTACCTTAAAAGGCCTGCATATCCTACAGGTAACTATCACTGAGCTGATTTATTATTATCATTATTATTATTTTGATGTATTAATTAATTCTCCGTATTTTTATCCCTAACAGCACAGTCTGAAAACCACAGCAGATCTTGTTCTTCACAGATTGTCCACTTTAGTATCAAGATTGCCTATTTCTTCAAAAGACCAGTCAATCAAAAACCAAGATGGTGAAGAGGGGTCCATTTCAATCAGCAATGAACAGAGAACTGCAGAAACCGGACATTGACTTTTAAGTGACAGATATTTGTTTTTATTTCAAAGGAAGGTAAAGTGTATGAAGAGTTAAATATCAAATTTTCTCTGTGTAAGAATGCATGCTATATTCCATCTAACAGGCATTTCTGCAAGCATAACTTATGCAGTGTTTTTCTGGGTGAGTGGTCTTTCCTGTAGAGTGATGTCACCCTTCAGTAATGGGTTTTAATGACAGACCTATTCTTCCTTGAATTTTGCACTAGTGCAACGACTATAAAATGACCCTGAAATGAAAATGTCTCCTTGCTGGTGCCGTGTTTGATTCCAGACTTATTCAATCTTACATCCTAGTGATCACAAGCAATTCTTGTTCAGAGCGTGACCTCATTTCTGTGCCTATTGGCTCTGGGTAACAAGTTGTTCAATTAAATAAAATTATTTTTAAAAAATGATCATTTTGCCAGAACATTGAAAGACCCTGTGCACAAATTTGACAAAACTAGTTTTTATTTCCTTGTTGATTAATGTTCTATTGAAATAAGAATCTCTTATGGGACTAAAGAGCTTGACATTATAACCTGGCAAAACTATTATTTCTTACTTGTTATTGCTAGTCGGTAGCAGGTGGCATATGGATAGCGGATATTCACATTTTGTTTGCCAAGAATTTGTATAGCCTTACAAATAAGACAAGTCATCAATGTTGGTCCATTTTTAGTTTTCTGAAGATTAAACACTTGATTTGGTATTTTGGTTTCATGAGATTTCTCAAAGTTCTGTAGGTAAGTGGTGTTGTGGTTTTGTTGTCTTCCCAGGAGAGGGCGCCCTTAGTTAACATTGCATCAGTGTCACTGTGCATTTCAAAGATCCAGAGGATCAAGCTTGACGTGACCTCTGTTGTTTGTGCTGCCTGAGGCCTGGCCTGAAACTGCTGTCACGCTTGGCTCTCTCGGGTCTGCAGCTAGTTACTGTTGGACCCCCAGCAGTTTCAGACCAGCAGATTTAGACAAAGATATCTTGTCTTGTGCATTAATGAACTGGGGGGGTGTGGATTTTAATAGTTTACTAGTCTTTTTTGGATCTTACGCTACAGATTTGTGATGTGTTGGGAATCAAGCTGTTAAGCCCTGCAGCTAGATACTCTTGCCCTCTCAAAGAATAGCTGTGAGAAAAATCTCTGATGAATTGTCAATTTCATCACAACGGTCTGCTCTCATTACTCTCATCATCATTAGCATTTTTTATTTTTTTTTACCATAGCTGTATATTTTGTTATATATTTTTGGTCCAGAAGGTCACAAGGCTGACAAGTAATGACCATGTAACTTGCAAGAAAAGCTAAAAGCACATTATGTATCCTGTTTATGTGAAAATACTTATTACAATTACAAGACAACTCAAAAAGTTTAGGGTTGGTAAGATTTTATGCTTTTGAAAGATTTTTCTTATACTCACCAAGGCTACATTTATTTGATCAGAAATAAAGTAAAACAGTAATATTGTGAAATATTACAATTGACAATAACTTTTAATATTTTAAATAATTTATTTGTATTTTAATATATTTTAAAATGTGATTTGCATTTTAGAGCACTTCAGTATTCAGTATAACACGTTTCAGAAATTATTCTAATATGCTGATTTGGTGCTCAGGAAACATCGTTTAATGCTGTGCTGCTTAATATTTTTGTGAAAATCATGAACGTTTTTTTTTCGAGATTCTTTGATGAATGGCAAGTCAAAAAGAACAGCATTTATTTCAAATAGAAATGTTTTATAACAAATTTTGTTATTGTCACTTTTGATCAATTTAATGCATTCTTGCATAAAGTATTAATTTTGTAAGAAGAAAGTCTTACTGACACCAAACGTTTGAACTATTGTGTACAAATGTACTACACTTCAAAAACAAGCTTTAGAACTTTATAGACCAAAAAGGTTAACCGAATTCATACAAATGGTGTAACTAAAACTTGAGCTCAACACGCTTTTATAGCCTGGACTCCCTTGTCCAGTTTACAGTCTTACTGTAACCACATATGTGACACTGGACCACAAAACCAGTCTTAAGTCACATGGGTATATTTGCAGCAATAGCCAACAATACACTCTATGGGTCAAAATTATCGATTTTTCTTTTATGACAAAAATCATCAGCGCAACCATTCGTGTACCATGAAGATATTTTGTAAATTTCCTACTGTAAATATATCAAAACGTAATTCTTGATTAGTAATATACATTGCTAAGAACTTCATTTGGACAGCTTTAAAGGTGATTTTCTCAATATTTTGATTTTTTTGCACCCTCTGATTCCAGATGTTCAAATAGTTGTATCTCGGCCAAAAATTGTCATATCCTAACAAACCATACATCAATGGAAAGCTTATTATAAATCTCAATTTCAAAAAATTTACCCTTATGAC